GCACCTCCTCGTTCAACACATGTACGGAGCGGATGACGTCTCCTCCTTCTTGATCCAGCAAGGGGGAAGGAGAGGTTGATGAAGATCCAGCAGCACGACGGCGTGGTGGTGGATGCAGCAATGAACGTAGCAGGGCTTCGCCGAGCTACTGCGAGAGAGAGAGGTGTAGCAGGGGAGAGGGAGGCGCCAAGACTTGAGGTGTAGCTGCCCTCCCTCCCCCCCCCTTTATATAGGCCCCCTAGGCCCCCTAGGGGGGTGCGCCGGCCCTAGGAGATGGGATCTCCTGGGGGGGCGGCGGCCAAGGGGGTGGAGTACCCCCCAAGGCAAGTGGAGGCGCCCCCTCCCCTAGGGTTCCCAACCCTAGGCGCATGGGGGCCCAAGGGGAGCGCACCAGTCCACCAGGGGCTGGTTCCCCTCCCCACTTCAGCCCATGGGGCCCTCCGGGATGGGTGGCCCCACCCGGTGGACCCCCGGGACCCTTCCGGTGGTCCCGGTACAATACCGGTGACCCCCGAAACTCTCCCGATGGCCGAAACTGCACTTCCTATATATAATTCTTCACCTCCGGACCATTCCGGAACTCCTCGTGACGTCCGGGATCTCATCCGGGACTCCGAACAACTTCCAAGTTACTGCATACTCATATCTCTACAACCCTAGCGTCACCGAACCTTAAGTGTGTAGACCCTACGGGTTCGGGAGACACATAGACATGACCGAAACGGCTCTCTGGTCAATAACCAACAGCGGGATCTGGATACCCATGTTGGCTCCCACATGCTCCACGATGATCTCATCGGATGAACCACGATGTCGAGGACTTAATCAATCCCGTATACAATTCCCTTTGTCAATCGGTACGTTACTTGCCCAAGACTCGATCGTCGGTATTCCAATACCTCGTTCAGTCTCGTTACCGGCAAGTCACTTTACTCGTACCGTAATGCATGATCCCGTGATCAACCACTTGATCACTTTGAGCTCATTGTGATGATGCATTACCGAGTGGGCCCAGAGATACCTCTCCGTCATACGGAGTGACAAATCCCAGTCTCGATTCATGCCAACCCAACAGACACTTTCGGAGATACCTGTAATGTACCTTTATAGTCACCCAGTTACGTTGTCACGTTTGGCACACCCAAGGCACTCCTACGGTATCTGGGAGTTGCACAATCTCATGGTCTAAGGAAATGATACTTGACACTCAGAAAAGCTACAGCAAACAAACTACACGATCTTTGAGCTAAGCTTATGATTGGGTCTTGTCCATCACATCATTCTCCTAATGATGTGATCCCGTTATCAATTGCATCCCCATGTCTATAGCCAGGAAACCATGACTATCTGTTGATCAACAAGCTAGTCAACTAGAGGGTCACTAGGGACACATTGTGGTCTATGTATTCACACATGTATTATGATTTCCGGATAATACAATTATAGCATGAATAATAGACAATTATCATGAACAGGGAAATATAATAATCATTTTATTATTGCCTCTAGGGCATATTTCCAACACTTAGTACTGTGGTCAGAGCGTGAATCCAAAGCCCTGGACCAGATTAAGTCATTAACCAGAACATGCTACTGTAGCAAACCGGAATCAGTTACTGTAGCAATCTTTTAGAAACTAATCGGGAAACATTTTTGGAAAAAATGTCCATTTTTCTGATAGCATATATTTTGAAAAAGTGCTAACATTTTATGAATTTGAGAATCTGAAAACAGGATCAACTTTTAAAAGCATGAACATTTTTTGAATATATGAAATAAATATTTAAAAAATCTTAAACATAATTTGAATGTGCATAACTGGCTTTTTTGAATATGTGAAAACAATGTTTTAAAATATTAAACAAATTTTGTGAACATTTCATAAAACTCCATTTTTTTGAAACCGTGCACATTTTTGGAATTGTGAACAAGTATTTTAAAATTAAAGATTTGATGAAATTCCAAACTAAACTTTGAAACCGTGAACATTTCTTGAATTTGTGAACAAAATATTGAAACCATGAACATTTTTTGAAATTCCTGAATGGTTTATGAATTTATGAACAAATTTTGAAAACAGGATTGTTTTTAAAATTTGAAACATTTTATGGAAAACAAACATTGTTTGAATTTATGACAAAAATGTGAAAACGGAAGATTTTTTCGAAGTTTTTAACAATTTTATGGTAAATGCAATTTTTTGGAAAATTTATGTACATTTTTTGCAAACAAAGAAAAATAAACTTGAAAAAATAATTAAACTTTCTTACATCCGCCTCGTCGACATGCACTGTAGTCGCCTCATCCATAATATTCCCCATTGCACCCATTTGTCGTCGACCGCCGCAATCGCTAGAATCCCTTGTCATTGACCGGCGTATTCATCATGACTTGCATAGTAGGCATGTTTGTGGTTGGGCATGCCGCATTAGGTAGAGGATGAATATCTAAATTCTGTCATAAAATTGTCACAGATATACATATGTGACAGAAAACATGACCAATGACAAAGGCGTATCATCACGGATGTGTTTTTTTTTAATGCTGGCAACTTGTAGCTGCAAGTGGTAAATCCGAAACACCAAACAGAATTATTATTTTCTAATTGAAATCAATAGAAACTACAACGGTGGATCCAGAACTAGACTGCCAGCAGTACTAATGCGTCACGAAGGGAGCAAATCTACTACTGTTGCTGAAATGCCCGAAGAAGTTCAGATAGCAGAGGGCAGGCTACCAAGTCGAATGGGTTTGTGAACCTTGTAATCCTCTTTCGCTTTAGCCCAACTGCTGGCTAACAATATGATCAATATGATCTTTGCCGATCCAAAGGGCGTTCTGTCCATATTTTCTGTATAGAATGAATTATTTTCTTTTGCGAATATATAGAATGAATTATTATTTTTTGCGGGGATATAGAATGAATTTTCAATGCTTCACGTTCACATAATAATGGTCTTATTAATAAATGGTATTCATTCACCAGATAATTCTAAACTGAAAGGAAACACAACCACGATACATATACTGTCAAGATAGTACACACTGATGAGTCAGCTTATAGAACTAATAGTGGCGAAATTGTGTGAAATTTTAACGGAGGACCCAGTACTGGACTTGCTTTCAAAATGAATCCACGGTTCTCTCAAGTTAAATACTCTTTGCGGCGCATGAGCGAAACACAGCGCAGGCCCATATAAATACATTGCACACATTCAGACAAGAAAAAAAGCATCAAAACACTTAAATTTCATTTTTAAGTAGAACAAGTTTTTTGACTTGTCTCCGCAAAAGAAAGACCAAAGTAGGCAAAGACAATGAAGGCAACCGAACAATGAAGTCTTATTCATATGTACTGTATGTAGCAACCGAACAATGAAGGCAATGAAGACTTTTACCTGTCTTTGTTCCTTTGAAGTAGGCAGCAGAGACTATTTCTTCTTGCCCATCCACCTTACATCACAGAGTCAAGCATCAACCCAAGCAAATCCACGAGTCAATAACCAGGCATGTAACTTGCCTAATGTCTGCTGATCTCAGATAATTAATATACAAGACTTCACAAGATTAAATCCAACAAGTTCGACTTGACAGGACAGGTACATACAAGTTCTACATAGAAGAGAAATCTCAGCGTCAACCACATCACATGCCACGGCATACAACTAGGTATGGCTGTGTCTCAGCAAAATAAAAGAAAATACAGACTACACAGCAGGACAATTTGAGCATCAACTAGCCATGTCTGTGTCCCAGCAAAATACAAGAACTTCACTACACCAACTAGCCATGGCTGCATCTCAGCAACATAGAAGAACTTTCCCACGCCAACTAGCCATGGCTGTGTCTCAGCAACCCGAATTTAACTCTTAATACCTGCAGAACAATCAATGTCACCCCAGTCAAATAAATTTGTAATGCTCCCCACAGCAAAACAAATTTTGTATGATCCCCGAAAATAAGTATTAACTTTGCCGTAGTGCAGATTATACGAAAAATATCCAAAGCTGAATCACCCCAGTATACAAGCTAATACTACAAACGGAGAACAACAATAAGGGAACATTTAGTTTGTACTGCCACCTATATGCTGACATGTTTCAAGATTCTTGCCATATAACTGCGTATGATCACAGTAGAAATTACGAGATCGGTGACTCACCGCCTATCATCTGAGGCAAAAAAAAACTGAACTTTTAAGATTGTTAGCTCATTCCAGATTTACTTTTGTGTGCCAAGCCATATGTGAGGTTCAGGGTACAAATGGAAAATGGCACGGCTTGGAAAACTAGAGTTCCATAACAAGTATTACATAGTACTACGTGAAATTAATGAACTAGTACTACTTTTCGATAAAAATTAGACCACATGGTATTATGAATTGACGATTTCTATGAAGATCAATCAAGTTAAATTTTAAACTTGGAAGGAAAAAAATAGTGAATAAGAAAACATAACAAGCTTTAAGCCGCCTCTGATGTTCCAATTTCTTAATTACTTCAGATGGTTTCACCACTACAGCTATTGCTACTTTCCAATTTTTAGAACACCTCTGATGAAAAGATCATTACAAGCACATAATCGTATTTAGCCTTTCGCAATGGCCAGGCATCAAAGCAATATTTATATTCCTGTTCTAGCTTTAATGGAGCTCTATAATAACAAGAAATTAGATAACCATAAGATGATCAGATCAACAGAGGAACAAATAAGACAACATATTTTTATGTATCTAGCTCAATCCTAATAATAGGAACAATGTTACCGCAATAACGTACCAAAAGTAACTGGAACGAATACGAGCGAAACAAACTAAATTGACTTTTTTGCTTGTGCAATGTAGATAGGGCATATTACCTGCAGTATAGAAATTCCTGTAGGGATAAAAGGTATCAAGACATATGTTGTTTCTTTTAACAATATGTTTGATCTGCATCGAGTCAACTTGGAGTGTGAAGTTGCCGGTTATAGTAGTGAGAACAATCACATTTGCGTCCTCATCATACCCGACGAAAAGTGCACAATCCATTCTCCTTGGAACCGTACCCTCGAGTGGAATGGTTTTCTGCAGCAGCACCCATTCGAAAACACCATAGCTGTTAGATTTCCTCTCCCATAATTTGATAGTCAGGTCCAACAAAATAGCTGAAAATACCAGTCGTCGGTACCATGGTTTTCTACCGGCTTTTCGAGCAGACCAAGACTTTGCATTTTGAAATCAAACACAAGGACATCACCTCCAGAAATCAACAAGTAAAGTGCATTCCCGACAAGGGTGCTGGGCCTTCTTAATCTAGACACTCCAGCTGTTATCGTCATCGTCGAGAAAATATCTCCCCAAACACCAGACGCCGAGTCGTAGACAGAACAAAATGCCGGTTGATTGTACTCAGCGCAAACCAAAACCAATTTAAATGGGCTCGAGAAACAATCTCCGTGGACATGCCCATCTTCGGCATCGACGCACAATACAGTGCCATGCCAGCCACAGTAACTCCCCATTGAGGCACTGTTGAACCCTGGTGGAAAAGCCACGATGCGCTCTTCACCGGTGAGGGGATCCCACACGACAGTCTCGCCCTTATGCATGTTGATTAGGAGAGAGAGGCCATGGCGGCAGCCCATGTATGCTTCATCTTCCTGGTAGGGTATTCTGCTCTTGGGCAGGGAGAAGCGGGCAGCAGGGATGTGGTCAGGTGAGTCCATGGCAGGAATGAAGTTTTTAGCATACCCTCTGAAGAAGCCGAGCAGAGGAGGTTTCCGGTGGTGCTTGCGGAAGCGTTTGCGGAAGTGGGGGTCGGAGAGGATGCTGCCCCAGCGCTTGCATACGGCGGACGCGCGGGGCAGCGAGGATGGCTTGGGAGGGAGGCGGACGAGGATCTCGATTAGGAGGTTGTCATCGCGGAGCACCTCGGACACCGGGCCGGCCAACAGTACAGAACGGCGCAGGCTACTGACATCCACATGCGGCGAGCTGGGAATGGGATCAGCCCTGGCATGAAAGGAAATGTAATCAATGGACACACATATGCACATCGGAGCAGTTGCAAATTAAACATCCAACACACATATGCACATCCATCCTGCATATATAGCATGGCATAAGGCAAGTAATAATGAATCTGGTGGTTTCTCCCATTATCTTATCCCACACAAATATGCACATCCATCCTGCATATATAGCATACACAAAGCGAGAGGAATTGGATTGGGAATCTTACTCTTGGCCTTGGGGAACCTCAGCAGCAGCATCCATCAGAAGCACCTATCTCTCCACAGCTGCAGCAGGGGAGGATTGTTAGGGTTTGATTAGGAGGGGGAAATCTAGCTAGGGTTTACTTTTACTACTAGGGAAAAATTAAGAAGAGAAAAGAAGAACGGAGTTACTAGTTTAGATGGAGAGGGAGAGGAACGAGTAGATTGGGTTGCCAGACCTCGAATCGCCGGTGGGTGGCTGTCGGAGACGGGGCGGTGGGGTGAGGTCGCCGGCGGCTCCGCTCCTCCTTTCTCCGCTCCGCAGCCTTTTTTTTTTAGAAACTTCTCCGGTCCGCAGCTGAGAGTGGGAGTGGGGAACGACCACTATAGTAAGCATAATTTCTTTTTTTATTTTGTGAGATTATTTCATTTTTGGAAACCATGGTTTTTAGGAAAATCATGATGTTTGTTGAAGCATAAATATTTTCTTTCCATTTTTTATTTTGTGATACCCGATTTTTAAAAAACATGAATATCCTTATATTTCTAAATTTTCATTTTTTTTATTTTACTACACTTTCTTCTGATA